CTAAACCCTACCCTAAAACCTAATAGTGGTCATAACATCCTTGCCGCATCATAGTAGAAACTCAGTCCACCTGGCGCTTGTGGAGTTTGCGGTTCAGGGCTTTGGGCCAGTTGCCGGGTTTGCAAGGTCTACCTTGACTGCAAAAAGTCCATACCCTCAAACCTTAGACCCAATTTTTAAAAATGTAAAACCCTAATAATCCCTAAACCCTAAACCCTTGCAGCCCCGAAGATTCACAACCTCAACCCTTCGACCCTGAACCCCGAACCCCAACAACCTCGTGACCCAAAGCCCCAGACCCTAAGACCCTTCAGGCGCTCCTGAACCTCAACTTACAACTGCTTTGTTTTCTGTGCATCAGCCGGGCGGGAGAGTAATACCTCTTGCTCGTCCCCCATGCCTTTCGGCATGCTCGCCTTGGATACCATACCATACCATACCTGCCTAAGCCATATCACCATAGTCGGTTTAGGGTTTAGGGCTTTGGGCTTTGGGCTTAGGGAACCCTAAACCCTAGACCTTTTAAACCCTAAGCCCGAAGCCTCATAAACCCCTGACCCGAAGATCCAAGTCCAAGTTGCCAGGTGTCGACGGCGGAGCACCTCACTGAAAGTGCGCGCAGGGAGATTTCACTGTCAGGGTGTCTTCCGCCGTCAATCCTTAAACCCTACACTCTAAAGTCTATAGACCCTGAGCCCTTAACCCCAAGCCCTAAACACTAAATCTTAAGAGTCTTCTTTGCAGTTTCAGAGCTTAAGAGCTTTAATCCAATCTGCATGGGTCCTCTAGACGCGATAAATTCGTAAACCCTACAAGGCCGTTTAGACTTAGTAAATACGTAAACCCTACAAGCCTTTGAAACCCCATAAGTCCTCCAAGCCCTGTAATACTAGGTAGGCCCCTGGTGTTTTCCCTTTTTGAGAGCTTCAGAGGATCATGTTTATGTTACTTGGTGGTCTCTTTAATTCGGGTTTGTTTTTTTGTATGGGGTTCTTATTGGGGTATCTAGGGGCATTAAGGTATGAGGGTAACGGAGATCACATAAAGGCATATCTTTCAAAGGGTTTTTAAGGGCCATCCTCGAGCAGCCCTATAAACCCTGTAATCCCTGTGAGCCTTCCAAGCCAGATCACCTAAATTAGGGTTTCGGGTTTAGGGTTTAGGGTGTAGGCTTTAGGGCAAAGCTTATCACCCACCCCCCCCCCCCCACCCCCCTTGAGGCCGTAAAAGCCCTCAAAGCCCTGCAAGCCTTACGAGCCCTAGAAACCCATTAAATCCCCACAGCCCATGCAGAAGGCCTTAAGATTTCGGGAGCTCTGTAAAGCCCGAAAGCCCCCCTAAACGCTTACCAAGACCCTAAATCCTAAACCCCAAACCCGATGAGCCCTGGAAACCCTGAACTCAAGATAGGAAACCTGCCGGTTTTGATTCAGAGTTCTCGGCGATTCTTCTGAGGTCCGGCCATTCTGGCTGCATGTATGCATATCAGTACATCATGTATGTATGTATAGCATGTAAACGGGAGTATGCATGCATGGACCCAAAGCCCTCTAGCCCCGTAACCCCCAGGCCCCCCAAAGCTCTGCAACCTAAGACCCGGAAACCCAAAAGAAACAAGCTGAAGCCCTAAAGAACTTAAAAGCACTCAAGCCCTAAAGGCCCCTTTAGCAACCCAAGAAATACCCCCCCCCCCCCCCCCCCCCCCCCCCCCCAGAAAAAGAAAACAAAAGCACCCTCAAAACCCTAAAGAGCTGAAAACTTCGTAGCCAGCCAGAGACATCCCTCAAGCCGAAAGCACCAAGCCTCTAGGCCCATATGCCCAAAGCTTTTTTTAACACTGGGTTTAGGGTTTAGGGTTCAGGTTTTAGGGTTTAGGGCTTAGGGCTTAGGGCTTAGGGCTTAGGGTTCGGGGTTTGGGGTTTAGGGTTAGGGTTTAGGGTTTAGGGTTTAGGCTGTATAGGGCCCTCGCCTGGCAGTTGCAGACGGCAATCTGAAGAAGGATATCAACACCCTCACTGAGGCCGCATGCTGTTGAGAACGAGTGGCCGAGTTGTACTTGGAGGTTCATGGGTAGTTAGAGGCATAAGAAATAATATCAGAATCATTATTGTACTCCTACCCAGAACCCTACCAACAACTACTACCTATGAACCTCCAAGTTTGTCCTTAGGGTTTGGTACGGGCTCTAAAGGCCCAAGCCCCAGACGCGAATTCGAATCCCTGCCGTAGAGCTCACATGTGTTTCCTTTCTGGTTTTGTCATGGCGTTGACGGAGGCATGTGGCACCCTAAATTCAACTCCGAAAATACCTAAACCCTAAACCCTGAACCCTAAACCCTAAACCCTAAACCCTAAGACGCATCCGGATGCACCTCAGCCCAGATTGGGTAGTTTGAGAGAAGGTAGGAGTAATATTAAGAACCCTACCTAAGCTACGTTACCCCTGAACCTCCAAGTATAGTGCTTGTAGGTTTTGGGTTAGTTTGGGGCTCTGCAGACGCAAGAGCTAGACGTAAACACAGCTCTGCCCTAATTCCACAAAGACTGAGCCTTTTGGTTCTAAGCCTCTAAACCCTAGCCGTATAAATCCTAGTGGTCCTAAGCCTCTAAACCCTAGCCTACATACCAGTGCATGCGCCTCAGCCCGAATATCTCAAACAAGCTCGTCGAGGTCGGCCTGGCCGCAATGGCTCGAAGCCGCCTAAGGCCCCAAACCCCTAGATCCTAGGCTTAGAGTTTCGGGTTCAAGGATCCTAAGCCGAAACCAGCAGCCAGAGTAGGCCTGTACTCCTTTATTTAGGGTCTTAGGCTCCCTTCTATGCCCCCCTAAACCCTAAACCCTAAACCCTAAACCCTAAACCCTAAACCCTAACCCCTAAACCCTAAACCCTAAACCCCAAACCCTAAACCCTAAACCCTAAACCCTAAACCCTAAACCCTAAACCCTAAACCCCAGTCCAAGGACCTGGGCATTGAGCTTTGGAAGTATGTGGCGCGCAAGAACGCCGCGTCTGGGCGGAGGCCCTGACATGGAGAAGCACCGGAAGTGCCCTTGGGGTTGAGGGGTTGAGGGGGTGCAGGGTATAGGCATACTTGTACATGCAGCCCTAAACCCTAAACCCTATACCCTATACCCTAAACCCTAAACCCCAAACCCTACGCCCCAAACCGCCAAAGCTCGATGGCCAGGCGCACTTTCCTCGGCTGCTTCCTGCAGAGAGCTGGCCGCATGAGCGAGGCACTTCGAGCAATGCGTAGTTCTACGGTTTAGGGTTTAGGGTTTAGGGATTTAGGGTCCCTTTTAGGGTCCGTATCTTAAGGGTGCCGGACTATATAGAGGACCCAAAAGGGGGACCCTAATTTTCAGCATTACGCATATGAATACAGGGGGGTCCAACAACTCGGGAATTGTTTTGTGGTGCCTGTTTCGCATGGATTTTTTCGTTTGGGGGACATGAAGGGATGCCCCTATGTTAGGAACAACCTGGCACGTCGCTGAGGTTTGGGATTGAGGGGTCTCGAAGAATGTTTCTATTCTCGTTAACGCATCTGGCCTCTTTCAAACCTCAAACCTACTAGTTCTTGGTAGGGAATGATGGACTTAACTCGGCACCTTGTGCCCCACGTTTATACCCTTCAAGGGAGCCCTCATTACAAAGAGCCAGCGGGTTCAGCCTGCTTTTGCTTTGCGACCGTGATTCTTGTGTTCGTGGCAACTGTCCTGTTTGCCAGCCTCGCACCTGAGTCGACCCTGGTTTAGGGTTTAGGGTTTAGGGTTTATAGTGTTTAGGGTTTAGGTTTTGGGGTTTAGGGTTTAGGGTTTAGAGTTTAGGGTTTAGGGTTTAGGGCTTAGGGTTTAGGTTTTGGGGTTTAGGGTTTAGGGTTTAGGGTTTAGGGTTTAGGGTTTAGGGTTTAGGGTTTAGGGTTTAGGGTGCCTGTTCTCGCGGGGCTCCCCCCAGCCGATGCCCCGACAGGAGAGGGGCGGAGGCTCATTGACACTGCTGGCTTTTGCGCGGCTGAAGTGGGAACCTCAACGACTCGGGTGGGGGGTTAGGGTTTAGGGTTTAGGGTTTAGGGTTTAGGGTTTCGGGTTTAGAGTTTAGGGTCTATAGGGCTAAGGGACAGTGGGCTTGAGCCTGTTGCAGCTGATCTGGGGGTAATGTCCCTCAATTCGTACTGTAGGCTTTGTGGGCAGGCTCGTGTAGCTTGGTTGGTCGCCACAGGGACCTGGTTGGGCTGGCATCCTTCCGCGTGTTCCTAGGCCTAGGACAGCGTACGACTAGCTTGCTTCTTGGTTGTGGTGCAAGGGGTTTCTTAGTAGCTGAATGCGTACACTTTACACTTTTTGGGATAGTACAGTCCCCTATAGAACTGAAGGTGTACACTTTTTAGGGGCTTATGAACTCAGCTATATTTCCTAATTGGGCTCATAGCTGCTCAGGGATTCTGATGGCCTGTAGATGCCTGTGAGGCCTGATAAGGCCCAAAGTTTCAGGCAAGAAGATGACCCTACAGGCAAAACCCCAAGCCCTAAACCCTAAACTCCTAAACCTGTAAATCCCTAAACCCCTACATCCCCAAACCCCCAAAGCCTGAACCCCAAACCCTAAACCCTAAACCATCAAGAATCTCTACGCCTTCACCCCCCAAAACCCTAAAGCCTAAACCCTAAACCCTAAGCTCTAAGCCCTAAACCCTACACCCTAAACCCTAAACCCAATCAGGTGCCGAGGCCGGTTTGGGCGGTGTTTGGCCGGGTAATGGTATTGGGTTTAGGGTTTAGGGTTTAGGGTTCGTAATATACTATACTAACCCCATCCCCCCCGAATCCCTATTCGAACTATCAGGGCCCCAATAGTAGCATCCGAAGGAGGAGCCCCGACACAAGAAGCCGCTAGAATTAAATGATTTAGAGTTTACCGGGTTGTTTCTCCAAAACAGGCCTTTTGTTGGGGAGTCCTCAAAGGGATTGCTCCCAACCTTGGGGAAAAGCCCAGAAAATGGACCTGGACATGGGAAGCCTTGCAGCCCTGGCGTTAATGAGCTCGATTGGCATGTTCAGCTGCGCCATCACTGGATTTGGAGAGAACATCATCTATCAGCTTGGCTGGTACGGTGCCTCGGCCTCTTTTGGGGAGTTGATGCTGTTGCCCTAAACCCTAAACCCTAAACCCTAAACCCTAAACCCTAAACCCTAAACCCTAAACCCTAAACCCTAAACCCTAAACCCTAAACCCTAAACTCTAAACTCTAAACCCTAGCCAGCTTCAAGGCATGTCACTGCTTGGCTTATCCTCCGGGCACCTACTGCAGTCCGTGACCATCCTGACCGTGATCAACTGGCCCCTGGCAATCACGCAAGCCTTCCTGACGAGGCAGTACGTGACTAGGCTCGGATGCTCTGTAGTACCCTTATTCCCTTTTTGGGGGGTTTAGGTTCCCTTATCAACCCGTTTAAGCAAAAAAGGGCACCCTTTTTCAGCCTAGTTCACTGGGCAGCCCAGTAGGTGGGCTAAAGTGGGATATTTGTTATGTGACTAGGTGGGCTTTTGGGGGCTGTTTTGTTGTTTCCTTAGTGAGGTTTATAAGGGGGCCCTCTCTAGAAATATTTGCCAAAGGGTTTTGAGGCCAACCTAGGTGAACGTGCGCTTGGCTGCGGCGCTGGGCACGTTTTCGGGCTTAGCGTGCGTCGTTGGCGTGTCGGTCTTGGTCCGCTTCGACAACGTATGGCTTAAACGCAGCCTGGGTGCAGTGCTTGTTCTGCTTTGGCTTTGGCAGATAGCCCTGGAGAAGCGAGTGAAGCGTGTACTGGAGGAGAACCAAGACTTCGATGTCTGTGAACGCAAGAATTTCCTCCTCGCAGCTGTGACAGGCACGTGCTCTGGCCTTCTGAGCGGGCTCTTTTCGACACCAGGGCCACCCAATATGATCTTCGTTCTTGTGGCACAAGTCAGCAGCCAGGTATTTAGCCTTTGGATTATATGTTATTGATTATTGCGGGCTTAAAGCCCTAAACCTGGACCCGAAACTTAAACCCTATAAACCGTCTTAGAATCTCATGTAGGTATGGCTTTCAGCGGGTTAGGAAAGTGCCCGCCTAGGCAAGGATGAGTGGCGGAGTACTCAGGCGGCGCTCAACTTTCTGCAGCTTCCCGTGCGCCTCGCGGCGATCACAGCCGAGACGAGCTTGGAAGATGTTGCGCTTCTGTGGCCCCAGATGCTGCTGAGCTTCATCTTCGGATTTCTGGGCTTGCTGCTGGGCAATCGAGCAGCGCCCTTCGTTTCGGAGAAGATCTTTCGGGAGCTGATTCTGACGTTTTTGCTGCTGGGAGGCCTCACGATGCTTACAGCAGAAGCTGGCTGGCTCACAGGGGCAGTCTTGTTCTTCGCTGGCGTCGGTGTTGCGGCCAAATTTGCTTGGTCAGCATGGGCCTCTACATCTACTAACGATTCCAGTGGCACGTCAATGCTTGACGATTTCGATGAGGAGGGATATTAATTGCTGTAACGATGCAAAGGCTTGCCAGCAGTGGCTGCTGTGCTCTGGCTTCGTAAGCGTGCCGTGATGGCCATGCTGCAAGCAACCCTGTGATTGATGACGCTACAAACCCTCTATAAGGGTGGCCAGAAGCCACATGTGTCTCTCAGAAGGGATGACTTCAGGGTGCAGCCCTCATCTAACCTTGACATGCCATGATTTGCGTGGTGGGTGTTTAGGATTTAGGGTTTTAATCAGGGTCTTAAAAAAGAATACGGCCAGACTCTTCCGATTCTTGTTCCCTTTACTACTCATATCATCATGGCACACGGCACCCTGCAAGGGAAACAGGCCCCTCTCACCCTAAAACTCCTGGACCCTAAACTCCTAAACCCTAGACTCCTCCTGCCCCGTAAACCCTAAACCCTAGCCCTAAACCCTAGCCCTAAACCCTAAACCCTAAACCCCCTAAGCCCTAAAAGCCCTCATCCCCAAACATGCTCAGGGATTCCAGTCAGCTCTCGCGGTTGGAGCTTGAGGCCGGCGCCACGGGTTCGAGTTTCGGGGTTAGGGTTTCGAGTTTAGGTAAAACCCTAAACCCTAAACCCTAAACCCTAAACCCTAACCCTAAACCCTAAACCCTAAACCCTGAACCCTAAACCCTAAACCCTAAACCCTAAACCTTTAGTTTGCGGTTTAGAGTTTAGATTTTGGGGGCCCGAACTTCCCTTTCAACCCTTAACCCCAAACCCGAAACCCCCAACCTGAAATCCCAAACTGTTGCCCTAAACCCTAAACCCTAAACCCTAAACCCTAAACCCTAAACCCTAAACCCTAAAGCCTAACCCTAAACCCTAAACCCCCTTAACCCCAAACTGTTGCACCGGAGGGTTTCAGGGAGGGAGTGGGCGTGGCATGTCGGCTTGCTGAACGCACCCCCCTGAAAAACCAAAAGCATTGCGCGCACTCGCGATGTTTTGAGGTTTCGGGTTTAGGAGTTTAGGAGTTCAGGAGTTCAGGAGTTTTCTGCCCGAAACCCGAAACCCGAAACCAGAAACCCGAAACCCTAAACCCTAAAACCCTCAACCCTCAACCCTAACCCTAAACCCTAAAACCCTAAACCCTAAACCCGAAGCCCTTAAGCCTGAGCACCCATTGCGTGTGTGGCCAGAGGCCAAGCTACGCAACCTTCGGCAGATGGAGCTTGATGAGGCTTGCAGGGTTTAGGGTTTAGGGTTTAGGGATTTAGGGGTTTAGGGGTTTAGGGTTTAGGGTTTAGGATGTTTAGGGTTTAGGGTTTAGGGAGCTTTAAGGAGCTTGATGAGGCTTGCTTCAGGGCCAGTGTTGGGGTTTAGGGAGCTTAGGGAGTTTAGGGAGCTGAGGGCGTTTAGGGAGTTTAGGTTTTAGGGAGTTTAGGGAGCTTTCGGGAGCTTAGGGTTTAGGATTTAGGGAGCTTCAAGGAGCTTGATGTTTCGGTGCTTTGGCGGGTCTTACAGGCAACATGAGGACCCAAAAGCTGATGCAAGACCCTGCGCCCGAAAGGGCTTGGTCCAACTGGGAAGTATAGGGTTGAGGGTTGAGGTTTTAGGGCGTAGGGTTTGACGGTTTAGGGTTGAGGGGTTTAGGGTTTAGGGTTTAGGGTTTAGGGTTTAGGGTTTAGGGTTTAGGGTTTAGGTTTTAGGGCGTAGGGTTTGAGGGTTTAGGGTTGAGGTTGAGGGTTTAGGGCTCAGGGTTTAGGGCGTAGGGCTTAGGGTTTACGGCTTCAGGCCCTACGCTGCAGTTCCTACAGCCACTAGGAAGCCTTTGGGCATCTCCCGCTCTCTATCTTTCTCTCTTTTTTTTTTTCTCTCTCTCTCTCTCTCTTTCTCTCTCTCACGTTGGCTTCGTACACCTAAACAGTTCACCTAAGCGCTCCAGACCCTCTAGACCCTAAACCCTAAAACCTAAACCCTAAACCCTAAACCCTAAACCCTGGACCCTAAATTAAACCCTACTAACCCCAAGCACTCTTTTCTTTATGCGAGGCTGTGCGGGAGCGCGCCATCGCAAAGGTACAACTTCAACTCTCCGAGATCCCAGAGGAAAGGGGCCTAGGGTTTAGGGTTTAGGGTTTAGGGTTTAGGGTTTGGGGTTTGGGGTTTAGGGTTTGGGGTTTGGGGTTTAGGGCGGAATGGCAGGCTCTCCGAACTTATTGGGTTAGACCCTGTAAGCCTCAAACTACAAGAGTCTAGGGTTTAGGGTTTAGGGTTTAGAGTTTAGGGTTTAGGGTTTAGGGTTTCTGAGGGTGGAACTTGATTAGGATTTTGCTCAGGGGCCTGCTGTTCGAGGCGAAATGTAGGGTGGCTTTAGGGCTGGGTTGTAGGCTTGCAGGATTGAGCTCTGTGGTAACCAGGGTTTTTGGGGTTTAGGGTTTAGGGTTCGGTAGTTAGTTCATAAAGGTTGGGCAGGAGGGGGCGTGCACCGGGCAGAGACCGAAAAGCGAGCTTTCTTGGCCTTGTCTTCGTTAGCTTACCTTTTCAAGCCCTGGAACTGCTATACTATTTACATAAGAAATCCGCCAAACACACAGGATAACAAACCCTGTATTGCCCTTAGTCCCAAGATGCAATTTGTTTTTGTTTTGGCTGGTTGCGGCGGGGGCGGGGGGCGGGGGGGTTCTGGAGCAATTTGTAGACAACGAGAGTCGGGATTGTAGGGGTTATGGCTTGGGGTCGCCACACCTGGGCTTGTAGCACCCTGAACCCTAAACCCCCAGGGGCTTGTAGCAGGACTCTATGGTAATAGAGTAAAACCCTGAAGCCCTAAACCTAAAACCCTACATTCCTAAAACCAAACCCCTAAACCCTAAAGCCCTAAACCCCGAAATGTCCTAAACCCTAAACTAGAAGACCCTAAAACCCTAGAACCCCTAAACCCCAAGACCCTGAAACCCTAAACCCTAGAACCCTAGAACCCTAGACCCTAGAACCCTAAACCCTAAACCCTAAACCCTAAACCCTAAACCCACACTACAGGATGACATGGGCAACGGCGTGCCAGAAGACTTCCTCGAGGAGGCGAAGGCTTGGCCCATGTTTTTTTTCTCTCAGTTTTCAGCCCCCAGGGGTAGGTTTGGGGTTTAGGGTTTAGGGTTTAGGGTTTAGGGTTTAGGGTTTAGGGTTTAGGGTTTAGGGTTTAGGGTTTAGGGTTTAGGGTTCGGGTTTAGGGTTTAGGGTTTAGGGTCTCGGGTTTAGGGTTGAGGGTGTCAGGGGTTTAGGAGTTCGGAAGTTTCGGGTTTAGGGTCTCGGCTTCCCTTACAATTAAGCCCCTTGCAGCCAACAAGGGTGCCCTGTTTATTCCTACGTTACTCTTTCTCTTAGGTCTAGGGTTTTCTGGCCCGTAAGAGGAGGTTTGGGGTTTTAGGGTTGATGCTCTGTCTTGTTCATGTGTTAATTATTTTTCGTTGGGGGGGGGGGGGGGGGGAGCAGGGGGGGCGAAGTTGGGGTTTTTGGGGGCGTAGGGTTTTAGGGCTTACGGTTTAGGGTTTAGGGTTTAGGGTTTAGGGTTTACGATTTCGAGTTCCAGGCTGATTGATAGATTTTGAAGTTTCAGGGCCCCAATCCACTTACATCGCCCTGTATAGACCCCTCAGAAATGGAATTGTTATTCGCGAATCCACCCTGGTACAAGGGTTTAGCGTGTCAACATGTATAGGATGTGGGGTTTGTCGTTTTGTTTTTGCTTAACCTGTCTAAAATCGGGCCTTTAGGGTCGTTTTAGGGTTCAGGGTTTGGGGCTTGGAGTTTAGGGTTCAGGGTTTAGCATGTCATGTGGGGTTCAGAGGGTATAACGTGCAGCTACTGTAGCCCCATCATTCTTTGGGAGATGCGAGTCTGATTCTACAAGATTCTGATTCTTCAAAGCAGCCCTACCCCCTTCAAGCCTAAACCCCCAAACCCCAAGCCCTAAACCCTAAACCCTAAACCCTGAACAGCAAAACGCTTCGGCCTCCACCCCTCCCGCAAGGCCTAGGGCCCCCTGCCCTGCAAGCCAAAAGCCGCAAGCGCGAAACCCTGAGACGGGTTCGCTTTTCAATTTAGGGCTCAGGGTTCAGGGATTAGGCTTTAGGGTATGTGTTACAACTATTTCTGATTCTCTGTTGCTGAGTCCTCTAGAACAGAAGGCTAGAAATACCTTTCGTGTTAGTTGAAAGGTATCCCTGGTAATTGGTTTCATGGAATCACCAATTAAACCCTGTGTCGAAAAAAGCAACAGAATGGAGAACCCTCCTCTCCTTCCAATCTGCATGCGACTTTGCTTGAATCCCTAAGCCCTAAACCCTAAGCCCTAAGCCCTAAACCCTAAACCCCATTTGTTGCTTGAAGCCTAGACCCTCAACCCGAAAGCATGCCTGGAGGCTGTAACTGATGGCCACGTCGTCCTGCTTGACAATGCAATCAACGAGGCTTCCGTGGGCCTCCCCCTCAAGCCTCAACCCCAAACCCTAAACCCGAACATCCCAAACCCTCAACCCTGAACCCTAAGCCCAACCCCCCCCCCCCCCCCCCCCCCCCCCCCCCCCCCCCCCCCCCACCCCAGCCGGAGTCCTGATTTCAAAGTGCGTTTGGGACTGGGGATTGGGGCTGAGGAATTGGGGGGTTAGGGGTGTAGGGTTCCTGGTTCGAGTCGAGGGAGGGTCTGCAGATCGGTCTCTCAGGGTCTTGCAGGCCGCCCCAGCTGACGTTTCACCAAGAGATACCTGCAATGTTTTCGAAGCCCTAACCCTAAACCCTAAACCCTAAACCCTAAACCCCAAACAGTAACACCGTGTTTGTCAAGGTCCTGCAGCTGCAATGCGTACCAAACTCACATCCCGTTTCTGTTTCTCAGAAGGACAAATGGGGAAGTAGGGGCTGTACAGTTTAGAGTCTTTGTCCTGCTGCTAAGGCACTTTTTGAGGTACAAAATTCCTAAACCCTATACCCTATACCATATACCCTAAACCCTAAACCCTAAACCCTATACCCTATACCCTAAACCCTATAAACCCCAAACCCCAAACCCTAAACCCTAAACCCTAAGCCCTACATGAGAAGCAGTGAGACATCGGAACGACAGGACGGTGAGCCCATGTGGGCCATTGATATCCAGGAGCCAGGGGCTCATCAATTCTTCGGGGGTGGGGTCCAGGGCTTAGGGGTTTAGGGGTTTAGGGTTTAGGGTTTAGGGTTTGGGGTTTGGGGTTTAGGGTTTAGGGTTTGGCGTTTAGGGTTTAGGGTTTAGGTTTAGGGCTTAGGGATTGGGCTTTAGGGTTTAGGGCTCAACAAACGGTATTTTGTGGCATGCCAGCTCATTCCCACCCTTGTCTCACAGAACAACAAGAACCATGATCCCTAAACTCTAGACCCTTGACAGTGAAAAAGCCCAACGCTAAACACACGAACAACAAAAGCCAATCTTACACCCCTTCAGACAAACACAAACATAAGCATAAACAACAAAATCAACCCTAGCCCTATAGAGCCTCAGCCATAATCCCAAAGCCCTAGGCCCTAGGTCTTAAGCCCTAAACCCTAAACCCTAAACCCTAAACCCTAAACCCTAGACCCTAGACCCTAAACCCTCAACCCTAAACCCTAAACCCTAAACCCTACCCGAAACCCGGCTTCAAGCTGGAGGTCGGTTGCGCGAGGCATCACCGCCAACTCGGTGCAGAACAGGTATTTGGACATGCTGGAGCCGCTGACCCAGCGGGCTGTGGAGAAGTAGGGTTCAGGGTTTAGGGTTTAGGGTTTAGGGTTTAGGGTTGAGGGTTTAGGGTTTAGGGTCTAGGGTTTAGGGTCTAGGGGCGTACAAGTAGTGCTAAGGTGGTTGCTTATTCTATTGGGGTGTGGAGGAATTTCAGAGCTGCGATTTTGGGTTTAGGGTTTAGGGTCTAGGGTTCAGGGTTTAGGGTTTGGGTTTAGATTCGGGAAGGGGATTTCGGAAGCCCCCTGAATTTTGCACGTCCTCAGCCTGGAGAGTCTGCTCCTGCAGTTTTTGTTTTGTGCGCAACCCTAAACCCTAAACCCTAAACCCTAAACCCTAAACCCTAAACCCTAAACCCTAAACCCTAAACCCTACACCCTAAACCTAAACCCTGAACCCTAAACCCTGAACCCTAAACCCCTGGGGAGTCTGTTCTTGCAGTTATTTTTTTGTTTTTTTCCGTGCAGGTCCCTGAAGCTCAAGGCCTTCCTGATGAACGCGGAGAAGGAGAGCCAGGCCTGGTGATGGGCACGTCGTAGGGAAGCTGCAGTGATTACTTCTTCACCAATGATGTCTCACCCTAAATCCTGAACCCAAAGTCCCAAGACCCAAGCCCCAGCTTTTAGGGTTTAGGCTTTAGGGTTTAGGGTTTAGGGTTTGCAGGAAGCTGGTGTTCACCTTTTTTCAATCTCGTGGTTCAGGAGATCCTAGAAGAGCACTTTGATACGCTTGCTTTCAGACCTTTCCTCCGAGGTGATGGACAACGAGGATATGGACGTGAAGGCCCTGAGACGATGAAGCCAGAAATTCCCCAACCACGAACGTCACAGTGAGGGGCTTATGTTTTTTTGTTTGGGGGGGTTGAGGGTCTATAGGGTTTAGGGTTCAGGGTTTATAGGTTTTATAGGGGGTTCTAGTTATAGGGTTTATAGGGCTTACAGGCTCAGAGGGTTTTGAGGACGTAGAGGGCTTAGAGAGTGCAGAGGGTTTAGAGGGTTTAGGTTGGGGGACCAAGGTGGGCGGGTCGCCTCGTAATAATCGGGGTGCCGCCAGTTGGACAACGCCCCTCTCTGCGCGCTGATGCAACAGTCTGTGGGCGACGTGTTTTCGCCCGAGGACGCTTGGGGTGTGGGCGGAGTAGGGCATACAAGGAGGGGCCCCCCCCCCCTAGTTATAAGTAGATTTTTCTAAGGGTCCTAAGAATATACTAATTATAACAATTTAGGTTATGAGTCCCTGAACTATAGTTAGTATAGTTAAGTAGAGTTATAAGGATCCTAATTTAGGTTTTATGTCCCTAGACAAAGGTTAGTATAGTAGGGGGGCCCTTCCTTGTAGGGTTCAGGGCTTGGCTTGGGCCTTTTGGTGTGCTGGGGTTCCTGCCTCGCGATATGTGCGCCTTTCGCTGTTCGCGTACTTGTTTTCCTCTGACTCCTTCTCTCTGTGGTTTGGGTGTAGGGTTTAGGGTTTAGGGTTTAGGGTTTAGGGTTTAGGGTTTAGGGTTTAGGGTTTAGGGTTTAGGGGTCCCTCTCTTTCTCTTGTCCTGTCTCCCTCTCTCCCTCTCCCTCTTCTCATGTCCCTCTCACCCACTCGGCTGATCTTCTTCCTTGGCATGCCGCAGCCTGTGATCACGGCTCAAGGCAAGCAGGACCCTGGGGCTCGGGACTTCCTGGATGAACTTCCCTAACCCTAAACCCTAGACCCTAGACCCTAAACCCTAAACCCTAAACCCTAAACCCTAAACCCTAAACCCTAAACCCTAAACCCCAAGCATGGCCCAGCATCAGCCCCCAAGCCTACAAAATCCCCTGCCATAGCTGCCGGTGCCGCTCGGATCTCGGATGTTGCGAACATGACCAAGGCCTGCTGGTAGTTCATCGGCAAGTTTCGGGAAAGCTTCAGGGTTTACAGGATAGCCCTAAACCCTAAACCCTAAACCCTAAACCCTAAACCCCTCATGGATGGTTTGCATGTTCAGGGTTCATGTAGGCTTCAGGTGAAAGGCGTGTGGGATACCATGGTGCAACATTTGGAGGGCTTCCGGCTCAGAGCCTTAGAACAAAACCTAATTACACCCGAAGCCTAAACTCTAACTTGCTTAGCCAAGTAGCTGAACCCTAAACCCTAAACCCTTAACCCTAAACCCTAAGCCTTAGAGGCTTGAGGCTTCCTTAGCTGCAAAAATAAACCTGGGTTTGGGGGGAGAAGCGAGCTAGTGAAACCCTAGACTTGGGATGTTCCCTTATATCTAGCAGTTCTCAATAGGGATTCTCATCGGGGGGTGCTAAACCCTAAACCCTAAACCCTAAAACCCTAAACCCTAAACCCTAAATCATTCCTACTAAGGGCTGCTCGTATAAGGGGGAACATCCCCACCCTAGACCCTACTTGAAGGTTCATGGTACTTACTAACCAATTATAACTGTACTTATAGCCCTACTTATAAGTGGTATAACCCCTAAAAGGCCCTTTAGGGGTATGATAAGTAGGGTTATAAGTACAGTTATAATTGGTTAGTAAGTACCATGAACCTCCAAGTAGACCTGGAGTCCCTCTGCGTCTTGGTATGCCCATCACAGCGGCGGGGCCCGGCCGGATACCGCTGGACCCGTTGTTGGTTTAGGGTTTAGGGTGTAGGGTTTAGGGTGTAGGGTTTAGGGTTTAGGGTTTAGGGTTTAGGGTTTAGGATGTAGGGTTTCGGGTTTTCGGGGCACTTAGGGTAGCTACATGGCCCCTTTATGTGGTCCCTGACCTCCTGTAGAGGGTTCTGATGTATGGGCCCAATCTTTTGTGCAGGGTATATAAGGGGCATGTAAGTTTTACCCTTTTAAGGGCCCATGTAACTGCACGTAGAGGCGCCTTCTGTTTCTTAGGGTTTGGAGCTTAGTTACCGCAGACTGTGTTTAAGGCTAGTTCCCCTCTTGTGTGTTTTTGGGTCTGGCGCTTGAGTACGGGACGGTGAACCCCTTTCTGAAATTGCGTTTTAGGGTGTAACTAGGCCGCTTAGGGTTTGGGGTGTAGGGTTTAGGGTTTAAGGTTCAGGTTTTAGGGTTTAGGGGTTTAGGGTTTAGGTTTAGGGTTTGGGGTTTGGGGTTAGGGTTTAGGGTTTAGGGTTTAGGGTTTAGGGTTTAGGGTTTAGGGTTTGGGAGAACTCTAGGAACCCCTATGCCCTGGCTGCTCGGTTAGGTGGTGGTGGAGGCCTTGGGCGCATCCTTGTCCGAGGGCATCTTGCAGTTGCGGCTGCAGGAACAGACACCCGACAGTTTAGGGTTTAGGGTTTAGGGTTTTAGGGTTTTAGGGTTTAGGGTTTAGGGTTTTGGGTTTAGGGTTTTATGCTTTCTGGGGTTGGGGTTCGTAGACTAAACCCTAAAGCCCCTAAACGTTCACCCTAAGCCCTAAGCCCTAAACCCTAAACCCCAACCCTAAACCATGAGGCTCTACGGTGTGAGTTACTCCCCCTAAGCCTGAAACCCAACCCCAAACTTAACCTTAAAACCCCAAGGCTGAAGCCCTAAATCCTGAACCCTAAACCCTCTTCCTCATCCAGAAAAGCAAAACAACAAACAAGAAAGCCAGAATTCATGCAAAGATTCGTGGGCTCTTCTCGCATAGGCAATGGGACGAAAACGGAAAGTAAAGGGGAGGGTAAGGCCTCCGACAATCCGATACTCCCTCCTCAGGTCTAACTTTAATTTTATACTGGCCTGCTAAACCCTAAACCCTATACCCTAAACCCCAAACCCTAAACCCTACATTTTTTGCAAGATAGACGATCCACTCCTTCTATTCTATGACCCGCCCTGCAGAAGAGAAATGCGGGGTTGGCCGGGAGAGTGGGGGGGGGGGGGGGGGGCACGCCAGAAGGGTGTTTTTGTTTCATATATGGGGGTTTCCCAAATTAAGGGAACCTGGTCCTTATGACAGGGGAACTCTCCTATGAGGGGGTCTATATTCGGGATCCCTTATTATTTTCGTAAACCCCCCATGTTTGTCATTTCCGCGCTTGAGCTGCTAAGTCTAGGAGAGAAGAGAGAAGAACAGCAAACAGAAGATTTTTCCACATATTGTAAGCCTTCTTCCCACAACTTTAAACTTGGTTGTGGGCCTGTCTACGGATGGAGGTAGTGCAGGTTTAGGGTTTAGGGTTTAGGGTTTAGGGTTTAGGGTTTAGGGTTTAGGGTTTAGGGTTTAGGGTTTAGCGTTTAGGGTTTAGGGTTTAGGGTTTAGGGTTTAGACCCATGCAAGGAATCTGCCCCCGAGACCTCCAGCTGGCTTTGCGTCTTGTCTCCACATGGCCTTCAGGGCTTAGGGTGCGGTTTAGGGTTTAGGGTTTAGGGTTTCGGGTTTAGGGTTTAGGGTTTAGGGTTTAGGCTGTAGGGGGTTTAGGGTGTTTGGGGTGTTCAGGCTGTTTGAAGGTATTTGGGGTGTTTAGGGTGTTTGTTGTTCCAACCTCGAATGTCGGGTTTAGAGGCTTGGGGTTTAGGATGTAAGCGCACTCCTTCGATATCCAAGCAAGGTTGAGGGGTTAGCGTTAAGGGTTTAGGGTTTAGGGGTTAGGGTTTAGGGTTTAGGGTTTAAGGGTTTAGGGTTCAGGGTTCAGGGTTGAGTAGATAGGCCACAGGCCGCTTTGCATTGCTGATTTTCCCAAGCTGGGTTTTAAGAAGATCTGGTTGAGGAGCACTCCTCGGAAATGTGAAGGGGCCAACCTCGCCAATGAGGGGTTTTGGGGTGCAATATAGGGGCCTGAAAAATTACAGCAGGGTTTGGGGGGGTTAATCGATTTTAATTATAAAGGGGCTATGAAGGGAATCTGGTTTTTTAGTATCATGATCATGATAGTTATTGTTCTTATTGCTAGTATTATTATTGTTACAATTTGTTTAGTAGTTATTCCGACCCCCTGTATCACAATTGGCGGCCCCGTGGCTCTCTGCCAGGGATAGGGGCTTAAAGTAATTATGAGAGTTTGTGGGTTTAGGGTTTAGGGTTTAGGGTTTAGGGTTTAGGGTTTAGGGTGGGCCTCAAACAAAAAACAACCCCGCCTGGTGCCGATGGTGGTGTCAGTAACCACCTTTGCATACTTTGCATGACCGGAATTTTGCCGTCATCATTGGACATCGTAGGTTGTAACGAGTGCGCATGTGGGCTGTTCCTCTAGTCGGGGGACTCCCTTAAACACCCCAAAGTACTATACTCCTTACTATGGAAACCCTCAAGGAAAGGATCCCTATTTCCGGAAACTCCCATAGAGCTTTCGTGCCACATGGGGCTTTGACTCTAGGGTTTAGGGTTCCGGGTTAAAAGTAGGAATTGAAGATGGCACAGGTGATCATCGAAGTCCACGCAGCTGCGGTGAATTTTCCTGATTTGCTCATGACCTGCGGTGGTTATCAGCTCCTGGACCTGCATCGACTAGCTTTGAGTACCAGGACTTTAAAATTTAGGTTTAGGGTTTAGGGTTTAGGGTTTAGGGTTTAGGGTTTAGGGTTTAGGGTTTAGGGTTTAGGGTTTAGGGTTTAGGGTTTAGGGTTTAAGGCTTAGGGTTCAGGGTTTAGGGACCACTTAGGAGCTGAATGAGTACACTTTACATTTTCTGGGATAATAGAATCACCTGTAGATCTGAAAGTCTACACTTCTTTTGTTTTTTTTTTTTTTTTGGGGGGGGGGGGGCTTACGAACTCAGCAACTAACACCACTCTTGTGGTCTCCAGCAGCTGAGAGCCTTGACTCCCGATTCCTTGTCCAAGTGATACCTCCCCCCTAAACCTTGAACCCTAATCCCTAAACCCTACCTAAACCCTCAACCCTAAACCCTGAACCCTAAACCCTAAACCCTAAACCCTAAGGCCTCGCCCTCCACATCTCCCAGCATGCTCGCGCCTCTCGATCCCTCAGTCAGGTATCGCCCGCAGCTGCCCTACACACCTGGAACGGAAGCTGCTGGCATCATCCGGGCGGTGGGACAGCAGGTGGCCTGGGTCTCGGGTTTAGGGTTTAGGGTTTAGGGGTTAGGGGCTAGGGGTCAGGGGTTAGGGGTTAGGGGCTAGGGTTTGGGGGAATTGGGACAGCAGGTGGGCTTTGTCAAAGTTTCATCTGGGCCGCCACATGTGTAGCGCCACATTCCAATTTCCAAACCTGTACACATTCGTCAAACCGTTACACAAATTTTGCGAAACTGCTTTCCTTCCCGACCGATAATTCGTTGTGATGTGATTCATGAGGAGGCAGATCGTGGCGTCTTGGAGTTGTTAAGGTCAGGTGGGGAAAATGGCCCAAGTCAAAGCCTCACCACTATTCGCGTAAGAACACCCCCCCCCCCCCCCCCCCCCCGAAAAACAGATACAAGTATTCCTTCCTATTGAGGTAATATAGGGATTATTATCTTGTTGTTTTTTGGTGGTTCCTAAGCAAATAGGAGCTGCTACGGCCACCTTTGAAGTATGCAGGCTGGAGCCTGCCCACGAGCCCTTGGACAATTGCTGAGAGTTTAGAGTTTATAGGCTTTTTGGTTTAGGGTTTAGGGTTTATAGGTTTTAGGGTTATAGGGTTGAAGCAGGAATTGGGTTCGCTGGCCAGGCACTAGAAGACGCATGCGGAACCTCAGAATCTTTTGTTCTGCTAACCTTAAGCCCCTCAACCCCTACACCCTGAATCATAAACCTACACCCAAGGCCCTGAACCCAAAACCGTATCGGGTTTCGGGTTTCGATGTTGGCTTGAATCTTGCTTCTGTAATCCCAAATCCCTGAGCCGAACCCTGCTAGACCCGATTCCTGAACTGTGAACCTCAGGCTACCCCCCACCCTAGAAACCCTGCAAGCCCCGAGCCGTGCAAGCTTCGTACCCCCCGGACAAAAAACCCAGAAGGCTTACGGCCTACAACCCCAAACCCTAAACCGTAAACCCTAAACCCTAAACCCTAAACCCTAAACCCTAAGCCCTAAGCCCGAATCAAACAGAAGCCCTGCATCCCCAAATCTCACAAAGCAGATGTTGGCAGGTCAAAGGTCTCTCAGAAGGGCAGCAGGTGATGGTGAGCCTTCCTGAGGCACAATGGGGGCCTAAACCTTGCACCCTTGGGGAAGGGGGGTTAGGGTTTAGGGTTTAGGGTTTAGGGTTTAGGGTTTATGGCATCATGAGCTTGTGTTTAGGGTTTTTAGGGCCTCAACTTTGGGGCTTCAACATCTTGGGTTTAATTAGGGTTTAGGGCTTCGGGTTTGGGGTGAATTAGTGTTCGGGCCTCGGGGGTTGTCACGTTTAGGGCTTCTTGCCGTGTGGGGCTTCGGGGTTCCGAAGCCTCGGGTTCAAAAGGTTTAGGGGTTTAGGTTGGGATGTTCCTTATACTAACAGTCCCCTTATAGGGACTATAGTACCCCCCTATTACAATCTCTAAAAAAGGGACTGTTCGTATAAGGGGGAACATCTCAAGGTTGAGGGCTTGGGTTTTGTGAAAATCTGGCTCTTCGTCTTGGGCCCGATCCTACTGGCAACCCGGCACCCCTGAAGCCTACAGGGTGGGGCCCCCTAGTTATAAGTAGAGTTATAAGGGCCCTAAATTGGGTTATAACCTGTAGAGCCATCAGTCCCTCCAAGCTCTGGGGTATGCTCCACCCTAAGCCCTAAGCCATGAACCCTAAAACCCTAAACTTCTAAACTCTAAACCCGAAACCCTAAACTTCTAAACCCTTAACCCCAAACCCCAAACCCTTAACATCTAAACCCTAAACCCTAAACCCTAAATCCTAAACCCTAAACTTCTAAACCCTAAACCCTAAACCCTAAACCCTGAACCCTGAACCCTAAACCCTAAACCCTAGCCCTAAACCCTAAACGCCAAACCCCAGGGCTGCATGGCCTCCTGGCTCACTGCTCCCGCAGCTGCCTGCACGGCCCTGCCACCCAGGTCCTGCGGCGTTAGGGTTTAGGGTTTAGGGTTTAGGATTTAGGATTTAGGGTTTAGGGTTTAGGGTTTAGGGTTTAGGGTTTAGGGTTTAGGGTTAGAGTTTACGCTTTAGGGTTAGAGTTTAGGGTTTAGGGTTTAGGCTTTTCGGGTTTAGGGTTCAGGGTTCAGGGTTTAGGGTTTAGGGTTAGGGTTTAGGGTGTTGGTTCCTCAGGTAACCCCCACTGTTGTAAGTTAGTTTAAGGTCCTTAAGGCCAGTTTCCTAACAACCAAGGTGCCAGCAGCTCTACATTGCGAGACAAGTTCTGATTCTTAAAGCCCTGAAACACCTAAACCCCCAATCTCCAACCCCAAAAAATTGAATACTAAACCCTCCGCTTTGGTGTACTACGCCCCCAAACCCCTAAGTCAACCCTAAACCCTAAACCCTGAACCCTAAACCCTAAACCCTAAACCCTGAACCCTGAACCCTAAACCCTAAACCAAAAACCCAAACCCGTCCAGAGGCTCTCCCTCCAGGAAGGAGCCGCCTTCAGTGTGGCCTTCTCCACGGCCTTTCATTGCCTCGTGGAGAGGGCCGGGTGGCCAAAACTCGTGTTTAGGATTCAGGGTTTAGGGTTTAGGGTTTAGGGTTTAGGGTGCAGTGTTTAGGCTTTAGGGTTTAGGGCTCAGGGTTTAGGACTCGTGGCGTTCAGGGCTTGAAGTTTAGGCCTCAGGGTGCTCACGGGAGTCATGCCTGGGCCCCTAAGGATGTACGTCTAAGAGCTTCCCTTAGATCTTCTCCTAATACCAAAAGAATAAAAAAAAATCATATTCCCCATATTACCCTTAATAAGGAATTTCTTCTTCTTATTATTATTATTATTGTGTTTTTGATTGTTTTTTGGGGTGGGTTCGTAAGCAATTGGTAGTAACATGCCCATCAATTGCCTTAGAGGATCTTTATGCAGAGTCCCCAAGTTCAAGCGGCTTCCATTGCCTCAAGGGGTCCAAGGGAGAGTCCCGTGAGGCGCAGGGTTTAGGACTTCTGGGGTTCAGGGTTTGAAGTTTAGGGTTTAGGGTTTAGGGTTTAGGGTTTAGGGTTTAGGGTTTAGGGTTTAGGGCAGCCCATGAAATGGGGACAGCATCCTACCAAGCTCAGACTTTAATTTGAGTCAGGAGGCACAGTTGGGTGGTCGGATTCAGGCGATTCAGGTAGTAGTCCTGGGTTGAGCTCTTGCAGGTTGTTCGGCTGAGGGTTTTTGGATAAGGGGCTGATGCGCAAATTTTCTGAAAGCAACACGCTAACCCCTCAACGTGCAATTGAAGCATGGGCCCGCGTGGGCCCTAGGCACTTTTCTAGGAAAAACACGGAGCCCTGAAACAGGGGGCAGATATTTCAGAGAATCCCTGCCTCGTGTGGGAACTCAACCATGAGCTTGGCCTGAAATCTTTCGAGGGTTTCGCTGCATCCGAAGTTCAGGGTTTAGGGTTTTAGGGTTTAGGGTTCAGGGTTTAGGGTTTAGGGTTTAGGGTTTAAGGAACGCCTTAAAACCGAACAACCGCTAAGCCCTGAGCCCAAGGTCATTCTCCGGCGCCACATACCCGAAGTCCAAAACAACAAACCCTAAACCCTACACCCTACACTCTACACCCTACACCCTACACCCTAAACCCTAAACCCTAAACCCTAAACCCTAAACCCTAAACCCTAAACCCTAAACCCTAAACCCTAAACCCTAAACCCTAGCCATTCCACAGTCCCATGCCTCGCTTGGGGCTTTTTTTTCCCCTTGTCACAGTCAAGGCGCACACCACGGCCGCCGACTGCGTGCTGGCACCCTGCCACGGTTTAGGGTTTAGGGTTTAGGGTTTAGGGTTTAGGGTTTAGGGTTTAGGGTGTAGGGTTTAGGGTTTAGGGTTTAGGGTTTAGGGTTTAGGGCTAAACCCTACACCTATCCAGGTCTTGGGTGGAAAGGACTTTGAGTGTCGTGGCGTGGGGTTTAGATTTTTCGGGGCATGGTCAGGCTTTTCGGCGTCTTCTTGCTGCATCTAGCCTCATTGCCCTACGAGTTGTTCGGGTTTAGCTTGTCCAAGCAGGGCTTCGGGTTTAGGGTTAGGGGTTTAGGGGTTTAGGGGTTTAGGGGTTTAGGGGTTTAGGGGTTTAGGGGTTTAGGGGTTTAGGGGTTTAGGGGTTTAGGGGTTTAGGGGTTTAGGGGTTTAGGGGTTTAGGGGGTTAGGGGGTTAGGGGTTTAGGGGTTTAGGGGTTTAGGGGTTTAGGGGTTTAGGGGTTTAGGGGTTTAGGGGTTTAGGGGTTTAGGGGTTTAGGGGTTTAGGGGTTTAGGGGTTTAGGGGTGTAGGGGTGTAGGGGTGTAGGGGTGTAGGGGTGTAGGGGTTTAGGGGTTTAGGGGTTTAGGGGTTTAGGGTTTAGCGGTTTAGGGGTTTAGGGGTTTAGGGTTTATAGGGTTTAGGGTTTACGGGGGCGGGTTGGGTTGCGGGTTTAGGGTTTAGGCAGCAGCTTGTCCAAACCGGCAGAACTATGCAAAGTATTCAAGAACCAGCATCCTGACTTGGGACGTTCCCCATATACTAACTGTCCTCAATAGGGATTATAGTACCCCTATTATAATCCCTATAGCTCCCGCCCTAAAGCCTAAGCCCATCGCGAACCGACCCTACACGTGAAGCGTGGGTCCAACTCATACAAAAACCCTATGCCGCCCCAAAGAGCTCATGTGAACCATTCCGGCAGCTGAGGTGAACGGTGCTACCGGTGGAGTGGGATTGGCAGCTGTCCAGGCGGTCCGAGGGGTTTAGGCGGTTTGAGGTTTGGAGTTTTCAGGGGTGCGCTGTACTGGATTAGGTTTGAACATAACTTTTACTACCCTTATAATCCCCGACATAGTTCTTCTAAAGCCATAAAAACTGGAATTTTATAGGCCCCCAGACCTACCCCGAAGCAGATGCTGACGTACCCTCATGCCCAGGTTCACGTCCTTGTAGGCCTGTATATGGAATGGAGCTTAAGGTTTCGGGTTTAGGGTTTTTGGCTTAGGGCTTAGGGCTCAAGAAGTTGCACAGAGGGGAAAAGGGGGGGGGGGGGGTTATGTTCAGGAGCCCGCGTCTGCTCTTCACTCAGTCAGGTGGCTCGCGCGCTCAAGTGCCGCAAGATCATTGCCACGGGCCGGGGCCGGGAGAAGCTCGCGCCTCGGCGTTCTTCATCGCTGTCTGGTATTTTGTGTCGTTCTGCCTGCTCTGATACAACGATGATGATGATGATGATGATGGTGATGATGATGGTGATGGTGATGGTGATCATCATGATAATGATGATGATGATGATGATGATGATGATGATGATGATGTCTCGTAGTATTTAAGTATCATCATAGCAGTAGCTTTGTATTTCATAGCGATCAGAATCAGTAGGAATCAGCCCGTCAGAATGAGATCAAGAATGCTCAGAGCACCTCGAGCTCCGGATGTCCTTCTCTGGCCAGTCTTCTTACGTGGGGTTTTTGGGAGTTCCTATAGTAAGGATTATGGCCTTTTCATTTTTATTTTGATGTTTATTTATTATTATTTGTTATTATATATATTTTTTGGGGGGTGGTACTTTCGGGATGTCCATTCATGCTCACCAAGATTGACTCGTCCTTCAGGGTTCATGCCCACCAAGATTGACTCCTACGCACTCGTTTAGATCGCTGGATGGTAGCTGCCATGCACTTGCTGAAGTTTACCATTACGTTCGCGGTTGCCGATTCTACTTCTATATTTCTATGTTCACGACACACTATTGCTGTCACTTTTGTCCTCCTTCTCTTACTCTGACTGTTTCTTTTACTTCTACCTTACAATATGGGTGCTGTCAGAACCCTTTTGGGGTACCCTAAATATTAGGTGCCGTAGTATCATCGGGATCCAAAAAGCCTAAACCCTAATTCCTAAACCCTAAACCCTAAACCCTGAGGGACCACAATTTTGACAACCACCCATATGGTGATTACTCTTCGGATCAGCCTCAGGACATGGGCTTCGACAGGTTCCCTGAACCGGGTTTAGGGTTTAGGGTTTAGGGTTTGGGGTTTGGGGTTTGGGGTTTGGGGTCTAGGGTTTAGGGCTTAGGGTCACGATAATACGAGCTGCCTGTAGGAGGTTCAGGGCACTTGTAACCCAGCTGCACAAATAACCCCCCTAAGTCCCCTAAGTAGGTTATAACTGTACTTATAGTTGGGGTTCTACAGGGTGGGGCCCCCTTACTATACTAACTGTAGTTAAGGGACTTAGAACCTAACTTAGGGTCCTTATAACCCAATTTAGGGCCCTTATAACTCTACTTATAACTAGGGGGCCCCACCCTGTAAGTCCGCATGAACCTCCAGGTAGATCCTTGAAGAACACAAACCCGAAGGTCAATACATACGTTTCTGCTAGCTTCTACTTATGTGTACCCCTGCTCTATCATATCTACACGGAAAACCCTTCAACTTAATCTTGGCTTTCTTGTGGCTGGCTCTTAGGACTTTAACCTTTTGGGCTTTTGTAGAAGCTACAATAAGGAGCCTAAAAGTTAAACTTTTAGGAGGGGTTCGGAAGTCACCCAGATAATCCTTAAGCCTTAGAACCCTAAAACCTATGCCAAGCTTGTCCTTCTCCCCAGGCCGTGGTCGCGCGCCTGGGCGCGACCTGCTGCCTGGATCTGGAGGCTGAGTGGGTTTTAGCATAATAGGGTTTAGGGTTTCGGGTTTCGGGTTTTTAGGGTTCAGGGTGCTGAGAATGGAAACTTATGTCGGGCTAAACCCTAAACCCCTAAACCCTGAACCCAAAACGCGCTGAACCCTAAACCCTAAACCCTGAACCCTAAACCCTAAACCCTAAACCCTAAACCCGAAACGGAACGCCTTTTTGTAGCCGCCCAATGTCGCGCTCCCCGAGGAGGTCACGCTGGCGCAGGCGCTGAAGGCCGAGACCGGCGGCCAGGGCCACGCGGCTCTCGCAGCCTACGGGGTTCTTCGGGTTTAGGGTTTAGGGTTTAGGGTTTAGGGTTTAGGGTTTAGGGTTAGGGTTTAGGGTTTAGGGTTCCTTCAAGGGTATTGTACTATATGGGAAAGCCAAAATCGCGGGAACTCCTCTGCTTCTTAGTAAGGAAGGAGGCAAGGAAGGGACCTTCTATCACCCTACAATAATATACGCTTTAAGGGCATGTTGTGGGTACTTCCTTCGACCGTATTTAAGTCATTGCGGCCGAGGGGTTTCAGGGGTTTAGGGGCGTAGGTCTGGCTGGTAACCCTAAACCCTAAACCCTAAACCCTAAACCCTAAACCCTAAACCCTAAACCCTAAACCCTAAACCCTAAACCCTGTCAGCCGCCAGGACCCAGGATTCCCGGTAGTACCCCCTTGCTCTCCTGGTTCTGTAGGTCCCCCCGGCATCCCTTCTATCAGGGTTTAGGGTTTAGGGTTTAGGGTTTAGGGCAATCCGAAGCCCTAAATCCTTAATCTGGCAGCGCTCCATGGCGCGCACCTTTCTTCTGAGGCCTTCCCTGCTGTATTCTAACCAAGGTCTATAGTTCTGGTTGATGAATCCAGCTAGCACAAGACATGGAGTGATAGTCGCCGTAAACCCTAAAGCCCTAAACCCTAAACCCTAAACCCTAAACCCTAAACCCTCAAACTCCCAAACCTGTACCCAGGTGTGGATGTGGTGTTTGATACCATCGGAGGCGAGGTCTTCGACGAGTCCTTGCGCGGAACGGCTTGGGGCGCTCGTGTGCTGGTCGTTGGCTTTGCATCTGGGAAGCACCCCAGCATCCGCGCGAACTATGACGCTCGGCTTGAGCCAAATTAAGTAACGAAAGCAGGTGGGAGCCATGAGGCATAGTAGGTCTCTCAACCCTATAGAAGCCTTATCCCCGAACACACAAGTCGAAACCCTATCGTGGCCTACAGAGCGTGCCAGTTCATTTTTTTGTTGGGCAGGTGCAGAGGCGGACTTAGGCCTCAAGCGGCCCACGCAAAACAATCAATCAACCCTAAACCCCGAAACTCCGAAACCCCAAGACCCCAAGACCCAAAACCGTAAACCCTAAACCCTTAACCCTAAACCCTAAGCCCGATAAGCCCGAAGCCCTAAGCCCTAAACCCCAAACCCTAAACCCTAAACCCTAAACCCTAAACCCTAAACCCTAAACCCTTCCCCCCCTCCAGAATGCGAGGCGTTGATCAAAGGTCTTACCATCATGGGCTGCCGTGCAGGTGAAAGCGTGCGCCGCGCCCTTAGAGTGAGAGTTCTGAGGCTGGAGCCTCTGGGTGTAAGTAGGCTTCGGGTTTAGGGTTTAGGGTTTAGGCTTTAGGCTTTAGGCTTTAGGGTTTAGGGTTTAGGGTTTAGGGTTTAGGGTTTAGGGTTTAGGGTTTAGGGCTTTGGAAGTTTGAAGCTTAAGGTTTGGGGTTTGGGGTTTTGGGGTCTCAGGATCCAGAGTACGAATGAGCTAGACAGTCCAACACTTCTAGGGTTTCGGGTTTAGGGTTTAGGGTTTAGGGTTGAGGGGATTGGGGTTTAGGAATTTTTTGGGTGACCAAATGAACCCCAACAGAGTTTATGGTTCATGTATTGTATGGCTTGGTGTCTCTTTAAGTAGTTTTTTTTTGCGGGTTCTTGTAAGGGTATCTGGGGGCTGCATTAAGGTATAAGGGTAACAGATAAAGAGGCCACCGGCCTTCATAATTCATATACCTTAAGAGGAGTTATAGTAGCGTCGGGCCTTTTTTGTAGGGTTTAAGTTCTCTTACAAGTCCCGTGAAACCAAAAAGGGCACCCTTGTTATTCCTACTTTACTCTTGGGTCTATCCAATACCCTTAAGCCCTAAACCCGAAACAAGTCGTATAGGGTATGTGGCCCCAAGTTTAGGCTTCACGTGGTCCCCCAGGTTAAGGGCTGCTTTTCACTATTGCAGACGCTCATTGAGTGGGGCCCTACGCTGGCAGAATCGGAATAGTGATGGTTAGCCTTTTTCAGTCTTTGGCTATGGCAGGAAAAAGGAAACAATTGTAGCGACTTCCACTTCTTACAAAGAGTTGTTGTACAAGAAGTTGTCTACACAACCAACATCACTTAATAGGCCCCCCGATGTCCAGCACCCCCTAAAATCCTGGAAGCCCTAAACCCAAACCCCAAACCCCAAACCCTAAACCCTAAATCCCACTGGCTGCCAAGAACTGAAACCCCAGAAACCTTCCCTAAACCTACTTGGAGGTTCATGAGTACCTATAACCCCAAGAAAATTGCTGTGCTTATACAGTTCAATAGTTCAGGGTTGAGGGTTCTAAGTACAGTTCTCACCCCCAAGTATAACTGTGCTTAAAAGCCCGCCAAGTCCCCTAAGCAGCTTACAAGTAGACTTTTTCAGTGGGATTATAAGTACCCATGAACCTCCAAGTATACACAAACTCCAAGTCTGCCTAGGCCCTCAACAGTAGTTCTGTTGGGCCCAGAGTTCTGGTTCGTGTACAGGAGGTTCACTAAGAAGGTAGCACCGAGAAGATGAACTGCAATAAGCCCCCAGAACTTCAGACCCAGGTCGAGACCCCACTCTTCATGGTCCTCGCATGAAGCAGCTGCCTGTTGCAAGAGCGGGCTTCCGCTGGTGTCGAGTTGAAGCTTTGTCAGTTCAGGGTTTAGGGTTTAGGGTTGAGGGTTTAGGGTTTAGGGTTTAGGGCTCAGGGCTTAGGGTTTGGAAAGTTAGGTTAGGGCACTTCGCCCTTTTCAAAACTGACGAGGGGGAGCATCGGGGCTTGGGTTTTCCTCTGCGCAGCGGAGCTGTTTTTCCTGTCGGTGGTACAGGTTGTACGCGGACTGTTGAGGGCCTAGGCAGACTTGGAGTTTGAGTATACTTGGAGGTGCTTCTTAAGCGTTTAGGCTAAGATTCCGTCCTGCATGCACTTTGGCGCCAGCGCGTGGATCCCGTGATGCATAGAAACTTGAATTTCGCCCTGTGGCCTCTGATTCTGAGCCTACAGCCTACAGGCAGACTCGACATCAAGTAAGGACCATATAGGTCAAAAGCCCTGAACTCGGTAGGCCCTGAGGACATGTCATATTTTCCCTTATTGGGTTTAAGAGGATCATATACAAGAATATTTTTCAGGGGGCCTTAGGGCCATCCTCGTGAACTTCGAACCCCTGAACCCTCTAAACCCTAAACCTTCAGCCATCAGAAATCTAGATTTACCTCTATGTAAACCCTATAACAGACCCTCAGCGGTCACCCTAAACCCTAGACCATAGACCCGAGACCCTAAACCCTAAACCCTAAACCCTAAACCCTAAACCCTAAACCCTAAACCCTAAACCCTACACCCTACACCCTACACCCTACACCCTAAACCCTAAACCCTAAACCCTAAACCCTAAACCCTAAACCCTAGGCTGCTGGAGTGGGTGGCGGCTGGTGAGATCCGACCCCACATCTCGCATGAGTTTCCCGTGGAGGCTTGCAGCTGAACAGACTTCAGCCTTCGGAGTCGGTTGCCTTTCCTTAGCCTTTCCTTACAGGATTTAACTAAATGAATAAATATATATATATATACATGTATATGTATATATCTATACATGTTATATACATATGTGTATATGAACAAGTATATGCATACTACATATGTATATGTTATAACTGTATACATTCTAGTAATACTATATACCTGGGCTGATAGTAGGGCCTATGAGCTTTAGGGAGTCAGGGCTTAGAGTTTCGGGTTCAAGACAGAGCTGCGCTGCCCCTGTGTGGCACCCCCTACATCTCGGTACCCCCCAGCGTAGGCTTGCGGTGGAAACTCCTGGCGGTTGCGCCTCATGCTGTCCTCCCCCTCGAAAAATCAGACGGGTAGGGTTGAGGGTTTAGGGTTTAGGGTTTAGGGTTTAGGGTTTAGGGTTTAGGGTTTAGGGTTTAGGGTTTAGGGTTTAGGGGTTGAGGGGTTGAGGGGTTGAGGGGTTGAGGGGTTGAGGGGTTGAGGGGTTTAGGGTTCAGGGTTTAGGGTTTAGGGTTTAGGGGTTTAGGGTTTACCGTGCTCCACAAAGCCTGAAGCCAACCCTGAAGCCCGGAAGCCCGGGAAACTGCGAACTGCAAAGCGAAACCATGCCAGGACGTGCAGGAGGCATTCCGGACCGTGCTCGAGCGCCGGGTCATTGGCAAGGCCGTCGTCACCTTCGCCCAGGCCAGCAAGCTTTGACACGGCTGGCCTTGGAGCTTCTCGCACAGAACCCCGGCACCGATGCCGAAGACCACCAGCGCGAACAAGATGAAGAGGCCGAGTCACCTGTTGTGGTTCCCAGCAGCTGGGGACCGAAGGGTGATGGAAGCAGAAAATCGGAAGCAGCTGTGGACGAGGACAAGTGCCTTCCCGGAGCAAGTCTTCTCCCAACCCGCACCACCTTCCAGGATGGGCTATATTAGGCCTTGTAGTCCCCTATGAATGGCCTTTTTTTAAGGGTTTATAATGTGTAATAGGCCATCCTGGTTTTCAGTGCAAGATGCACAGGACAAGAAGTTTCCGCTCCAGGTGAAAGGCCGTAGCTGCAGCTGAGGCCGCGGCCACTTCACGTCGTTGCGTAGAACAGACTTCACGCACCGGCCAGCGAGAGAGTGCGAAAAGGAAGGATGCGCACGACAAGAAATATTGACTACTTTCAGTTGCTGTACCTGGCAACCCTAAACCCTAAACCCTCAACCCTAAACCTAAAATCGTCCAAGATGGCAAGATGTCAAAGACTCCGGACACCACGGAAACGTTGCCACGTTGATTGTAACTTACACTGCTGATTTGACTGATTCAACCCTGTAGCTACTTAAGACCTAGCCCCTTGGATGTTGTGTTCCAGACGGCATTGAAGATTCTTCCAAGCAGGGTGGCCTGAATACAATGGCTTCAGTGTTTTATCAGGGCACGGCTGCACACATTGCGCGGTCTCGGTGTGTATCCTGCGGTAGGTCAACTACTCAGAGGTGCAAGCAGCACATGCACCTCCCCTCCCCCCCAAAACCACAGCCGACAGGTCCCGAAATCCTAAAGGCCCAGGCCTTTCCGCCCCCGAAGGCCCTGTTGCAACAACCGTCCATTGGGTCGTAGGATTGGGGGTAGGATTCTTTATAATACTCCTATAAGCCTTGAAGTCTAAACCCGTGGGGACGACATGAACCCTAAACGGGTTTAGGGTGCATATACCTTCGTAGGAATTATAGCAATATATAGGGTAAACCCTAAACCCTAAACCCTAAACCCCAATTTTAGGGTTCATGTGGTCCCCAAGGACCCCAGTAGGGAAGTAATGCCCTATTACGGACATATAGCCGGCTTGAGATCCTCAAGCCCCCACCAAAGGGTTTAGGGTTTAGGGTTTAGGGTTTAGGGTCGACATCCCATGTACAAAAAACCCCGGCCGGCAGCCTCTTCACCCGCTCTGGTCTACCCAGTTTAGGCCCTTCATGAAATCTAGGTTTTCGCGTCATGAATACCACAAACCCTAACCCTAACCCCCCCTCCAAAAAAAAAAAAACCTATAACCCCCCCCCCCCCCCCCAAAAAAAACCAAAAAAGTCAGGAGGAGGCGATACTTCTCGCCCTGGCAGAGGAATCCTCGTCCAGTGCTGCGGCCCGCCAGGGAGGGTTAGGGGGGGGGCGGGTTTTGGCCCCTTTGTGTGAAGCATCTTAAAATTAAACGTAAATGCCCCGAAATCCCCTAAGGAAGCCGCGAACCCAAGATAGACCTAAATACCCTAACCTGCCCTAAATCCTGAATAAGCCGCAAATAGGGTTTAGGGTTTAGGGTTTAGGGTTTATAGGGTTTAGGGTTTAGGGTTTCATCAACTCTTAATTTCCCGAAATCAGGGCCGCGAGGCCCGTATTGGGTTGGTTGCAGGGGGCAGAAGGTCACCAGACGGTTCCCAACCTCCAGTTCATGTACGTTGGGATTTAAGGTTTAGGGTTTAGGGTTTAGGGTTTAGGGCTTAGGGTATTTAGGGCATTTAGGGTTTAGGCCTTTTTACACGACCTAGGTCCAGGCGTTCCGGGGCAGTGCAGATCATGTTTCGTTCTACAAGGGTTTTATAGCCCTCAACCCTACAAACCGTAAACATATTTTAAATTTGGGGCCTGCATGAGACTTTCAAAGGCCTGTACGGTGGCTGGGTGGGGCTTGGGTATCATGTGGAGCCTGCGGAGGGCTCCACCGAGGTTTAAGGGTTTGGGGGTGGTTTTGGGGTTAGGGTTTAGGTTTAGGGTTTAGGGTTTAGGGTTTAGGGTTTAGGGTTACTGGACTCGGGGGGAAGGGTTGATTGTTTACAGGGGTTGGGGGGTTTGGGGGTTTCGAGTTTAGGGTCGGTGGGTGGGGGGGGAGGGGGGGGGGGACTAGACGCCCAGTTCTAGGTCCTTCAAAGAGGCTCTTCAACGTTTATGGCCAGTGCGAATCTCCAACTCTGCGCGTATACTCCATCTTTCAAGCATTCCCCAGACTTCGGCTTACCCTAAACCCCAAACCCCAAACCCCAAACCCCAAACCCCAAACCCCAAACCCCAAACCCCAAACCCGAACCCCTAAACCCTAAACCGCCTAAACCCTACAAACCCTAAACCCCAAACCTCAAACCCCAAACCCTAAACCCTAAACCCTAAACCCTATTTCGGCTTACCCTAAACCCAAAACCCCAAACCCCAAACTTGTGGGTCCGGGTTCTGCCGTAGGCAGCGCGGCCACTTGCGGAAGCCGTGCTTCAGCTCCTGAGGCCGTGACTTCGGACTTCTAGGGTTTAGGGTTTAGGGTTTAGGGTTTAGGGTTTAGGGTTTAGGGTTTAGGGTTTAGGGTTTGGGGTTTGGGGTTTAGGGGTTAGGGGTTTAGGGCTTAGGGTTTGGGGTTTAGGGTTTGGGGTTTCAGGGGTTAGGGTTTGGGTTTTCCACCCCCCGCCCTCGAAACGCAAAGCTCCATAAATCTCAAAACAGGCCTCAGGGTTGGGGATTTGCGGGGCTTTGATGGGATCTTGGGTTTCTCAATAGGGTTTAGGGTTCAGGGTTGGTGGGGAGGGCATCCCCATAACAAGGATACAGTTGGGGGGGTGTGCAGAGAAGGAAGTTGCTGACTCCTGGGCCGCCATTGAGAAGGTTTTCGAGGATAATTATGAGACGCGGTCAAAATCACCGCTTCCCGATTTTAGTAGAGGGGTTTTTGTTGCACCAAAAACGCCGAGGATCGATAGGGGACGCGCAATACGATAGGGTAAAACTCCGGTAGGTGAAAACATGGAAAACGATAGGGGACGCACAAATGCAAAACCAAGCAAGGCTTAAACAAGTAATTTTGACGCCGACTCATATGGAACTATTTTAACCCCAACCTAACCCCAAACCCTAAACCCTGTACGTACCCTAAACCCTATAAACCCTAAACCCCCCAACAGGCAGGCCCGGATTCGGATGGACGACGTCGAGGCGCGGCCTAATCGACGCTTGCGTCCGCCCGCGCACGGGCACTTGGGTTTCGGGTCTAGGGTTCAGGGCGTCCAGGGTTTAGGGTTTAGAGTTTAGGGGCTTGACTAGGACCCAATGTAGGCCCCTCATCCCCTTTTTCTTAAGGGTCTAGAATCCCTTAGAAGCCCTTCTAAACCAAAAAGGCACTTTTTTTTCCCCAGGTTACTCTTGTGTCTAGTTGAATTTCACTGCTTAGGGCTTCATAAAGGGTTTAGGAGGTTTAGAGGTTTAGGGTTCACAGGGTTCATAGGGTTTAGGGTTCAGGGACAGTGACACACTCCCACTTGTGGCCCTCTGGCAGTCTAAAGTTTTAGACATGTAGGGTGAACCCTAAACCCTACACCCCACCAGTTTGAGGTTGAGTGTTTTGTTCGGGGGATGCTAGGCAGGCCGATTGAATATTCATGCTGCGTTCCCTTCCACTTCTAGGGCCTAAGGGGATCCTAAACCCTGAACCTAATCATCACTTGCTGACCCCCTCTAGAGCACAAGCCAAAAGCGTCATGCGAACGCCCCAAGCCAAAAGTCTGTCCTTCGGAGGTTTAAGGTTTTTTTGATTTGGTTTTACTAGAGCGCCCCCTCCCCCCCCTCCTCTCCCCCCCTCCCCC